TTGACACCGAAGAACGTCCCTGCTCCTCCAGCGCCTTCGCAACTAGAGCCTTCACAGTGAGCTCAAGATTAGACTCTCGGTCTCTGCCATGTTTCTTGTACATGTGTTAGTCCTCTTCCGAATCCATGCTTTCAGGTCGTTCTTTTCCCTAGCTCCCTGTTGTGGCCTGTGTGCTCGAGGTTTCCCAAGGCAAGGCTAAGCTCGTCCCTCTTTCTAGAAGGCTTGAATGAGCCCTTCTGTTTGTCTTTAGCATATTTCAGTATCTTTGATACTGCCTGTTCTGTCTCTGGGTTATTAAACTTAAGCCCACTGGATGTTTCTATACTAGTACTCCTCCCAAGGATCCAGTTCCTTGAGCGTACCTCCAACCCACTCAAGTTGAATGACCCGGATGCGGTGACCTCTTCCTCCATCTTCCTAGACTACTCTTCCTTGCCATAGTAGCCACCAGGACCAAGACGATGGTGATGTTGGTTTTTCTTCGTAAGCTTGGTGTTACGGGCACTAAGGGCCAATGCTGCCGGTGAAGTCTTTTGAGCCACAAGGTCCGCCCATTGAGTAGGAGTTATGTGGCCAAACTCGTTGAAGAGAGTCAACCCCTTTTGGATATAGTTCTTGTTGAGGTCTGACTTCCAACGTCAGAATGACTCTCTCATTATTTTTATAGCTTGACGTTTTACCAGTTGATGGCTTCCCTTTGGAAACCAGAAATTGACCATCATAAACTTCTCCCATAGCTCTCTCTTTGTCTCCTCTGGTACTTTTTTCCAGCTGATGACAGCTGGGTTTAACTGATCTCTTACTAGGGCCCCGATCGCATTACGGAATCGCCCTCTGAGTTGCTTCGGCTGACGGATATCCCCTACTAGCCTAACCTCTATAATCACATAGCATGCGCTATCTGGATATTGGTTGTTTTTTTGTCCCCCCGTTTCCTCTTCGGCTTGGTACCCGAGTTCATGGCCATGGCTTGGGGTTTTGGAGCAGAGGTGGCAATGTCCAACTCTGTGGCTGTTGCCTCTGACACTGGTAGAAAACAGAACTTTACTCCCGGTGGGGAACCCCTTCTAGTCCCGGTTCCCCACCCGGGAGTAAGCATCCGGGACTAAAGGGGGGTCCTTTAGTCCCGGGTCAGGAACCGGGACTAAAGGGGGGTAACACCAACCGGGACTAAAGGTCCTCCCAGCTTTAAAAAAATAATGCCTCCCACCGCTGCGTCCCGTGAGATTCGAACCCAAGACCCCATGCATTGCCTCGCGCGTAGCTTATCACCCCACCTACACAATACATCTAACAATGGATGTGATGCTTCCCTTTTGAACTAACCCATCGGGGGACCTTTAGTCCCGGTTGGTGTTACCAACCGGGACTAAAGGGTCCTTTAGTCCGGGTTGGTGTTACCAACCGGGACTAAAGAGTCTAATTTTAGTTCCGGTTGTTGTTACCAACCGGGACTAAAGGTTGAGGACTTTTAGTCCCGGTTGGTGGCTCCAACCGGGAGTAAAGGTCCACCTTTAGTCTCGGTTGGTGTCTCCAACCAGGACTAAAGGTCCTCTGCCACTGTGCCGAGCGCAGTAGTCGTTGGGCAGGGACCTTTAGTCCCGGTTGGAGACACCAACCGAAACTAAAGGTCTCTTTAGTCCCGGGCGCAAAAAATGCCGGGACTAGAGCCCATTTTAGCATCGGATGAAAGGTCTGTTCTCTACTGGTGTGATCTCCCTTCCTCTGCTCTGTCTTGTCCGGCGAGATGCCACGGATGTCGATGTCGTCTTTTTCGAGTTTCAGGAGGGACCTATATATACGGGAGGTCAAAGTGTTAGTAATTATAACACGATCAAAGCATTAACAAAATTTGCAAAGCTTTATCGCTACCTTTTTAGATGAAAAAATTACAAACCCAGCGTAGCACAGATGTACATATTTTTCATAGATTATAAACCGGGAAGAGGATTGTTGGACAACATTTAGCTACATGGCGCTCTTCACTTGAGTCAAACTCCCATCGCGTTGGCCATGCCTAAGTAAATATGATCTTTTTCTATATATAATAACCAGTTATAATATATTTGGCTTGTACTCTCTCCATTCTCAGTCCTACTCCTAAATCATTTCGATTTTTCTAAAGACTTATTTTTGCTAAGCACTTTGAAAAAGCCAAAACAACCCGCAATTTCGATCTGAGGCCTGAATTGGGATTTGGAGTTTTTTGTTAGCAAATTTAGGATTAAGTCTCCGTGCAACACCAATCCTGTTTCATTACGATTCGTAGTCGATTACTCGGTTAAAATGTGCGCGGAACGTCATTTCTCTTTCGCATTTTCAGGTTTCCTCCGGGCCTCCGGCCTGCGTGGTGTGGGAACGAAACGCTCGAGCCATGCAGACGTCAGATCCAGAAAACGTCCACGTGTCATCAACGGGCGGTGGTTTTGCATGGGATGGAAATTGGAGAAGCCTCCACACGGCCGCGACGACCTCCATGCTGCTGACCGCAGACGCTTTCCGTCTCGCCGACATGGATTTGTTTCCCTCACTTGCAGCATTCATGCTGCGTAGCCAACTATAAACGGAGCTCTATTAACTCGTTTCACTTGTTAATTTCACGGCAATTTCATGTAACCGTTGATATATTATGGGCTTGACCCATATAATATTCAATAAATCAAATAAACTCTATGGCTCGTAATGATGCGTGATATATGATTTAATACTGTACGAGATTTTGACCGGACATTGACTCGGTTTATATGGTTGCATATTGTCTATCTATATTAAGAAGCTGAGAAAATGACTTAGGTGTGACACGCGCGCGCCGCAGCTGACCGGGCCGTGGGCCAACGGACGGACGGGAGTGGTTTTGCCACTCAATCCACATAATTACTGGAGTTACTCTCTTTTATGCTGGTGGCGGCTTCATGGCGGAAGTTTTGTCTGTTACTGCCATCTGCGTCTGCATGTCTCCTCGGTCCTCTGATCTCCTCCTGCGCCCCATCGCCTCCCGGCTCTTCTGTCAATCATCTCCTTCGCTTGCTGCACAACCACATATTCAGCTGCTCTCTGGTTCTCCCCGTCTCGGTTCCTGCGCGCACTGGAGCTGGGAGAGTAGGCCTCTGGAACGCCTGCCGTCTTCGAGTTCACCTGCTCGGGTGAAGGGCGACAATCATATTTTTGGGGAGGGTCGCTGGCGGCACGACTACTCGCTGTCATCTACTTCCTAGAGGATCGCTAGTGATCGACATGGCTTCTCATCTGCACTGCATCGAGCGGGATGACTACATCAACAAGCACTATGTCTTCGAGTGCATTCGGCTCTGCCGCTGGGTATGTCTCTGGAACGAACCTATTAAGGTCTTGGCTGTCAATCCTTAGTTTGAGTATCATCTACATGTTCATCACATTTAAGACACACAAGCACATATATGATGTCACCAACATATTCATATTCCTTTATGTCTTTTTCTGGATTAAATTGCTACTAAAATTGCCTAATATTCTAGCAGTAACCTGCAACAAAATTCTTTTCAGAATAGGATTAGTAATTTTCTGACGGCACTGCTTGCACTCGGACGTCCGGACGGAAGCCCACACGTCTGGACGCCCGCAGCTGCAGTCCATTTCCGCGCCCCCGTTTCGCGCGTCCACGCCGGGGACACGTCGTCCGAACATCGTCCGTCCGCGCCTGCGTTTACCCCCTGCGCGAGGGCTTGTGCCGCCTAGACGTCACCCGCGAGAGGACCACTCGCGCCCCGTCCAGTTTCCCACGCGCATTCCATGTTCAACACCCCTACTTTTGAAATATATAGATGCAATACTTGCAACATACAGAAAAAAGACAGATGAAACACTAAACATGCATCTGAAACACTTGCAAAAACATCTGAAAACACTTGAAAACCAGCAAACATACGCAACATACAGATAAAACACTTACAAAATATGTGTGAAATATATGCAACATCCAGATAAACACACTTGCATCATACATATACAACCATTACAACATATGCAACATCCCAATCTACCATTGCAACATATGTAACATCCCGATCTACTTTTGCAACATCCATATGAAACACTTACAACATACTTCTAAAAACATATGAAACACTTAAAACATACGCTTGTGACATGCGCTTTCAGCGCAACATCTCCATCTCCTTGCTGCATGGGAGAATAGAGGCTCGTCGACGTGGAGCTCGACACCGGCACAGAGCTAGATGCTGCGGAGTGGCATGGGGGGAGGGGAAGGGGATGCCAACGGGCGGCGGGTGCAATGCTCGGGCCAACGGCCCCAGTGCTGGGGAAGGCGAGCAGCGAGAGGGCGGCGTGGTGAACTGCGGTGGAGAGGGTGGAAGGCGGGCGGCGGCGCTCTGGTACGGTGCAGAGGGGGGATGGTGGCCGTCCGGGCCAGTGCAGAACGTAATGGTAGCGCGGCCATGGTGGAGAACGCCGTGCCGGCGTGGAGAACTCGATGGCGAGTGGGAATGATGTTTCTGGATATTGCATATGAGTCAAGACGACAACCGGACAAATGGAGTTGAGACGAGCATGGATATTCTAGTTGGGCCGTTCGGGCCATCATGGCCCACGGTATATGGGCCTGAGGAGAGCATTTCTGATTTTCTAATAATGGTATATATACCGTTAACTCGAAAGGAGGACGACGACGTTCTTTTCAAACACAAGAATACAGTGGCCCGAGTCGCAACCTTTCGAGTTAAAAAAAGGAAGGCTGTGATGATCCAATTGTTTCTCAAAAAATTCTGATAGGCCCAATTTCAGTGCGAAGGCCCACAACCACATGATAGCGAAAGCTATCTTCCTCTTCTTTTTTTTTTAATTCATCCAATCCAATGGCCTCGTCGTGACTCGTGAGAGCGGGCGGAAGCGGAACGAACAAACCGTAGAATGTAGATAAGAGAGTATCAGACGATCGGATCGGATAGGTTCACTTCAATTCTTGCCCCTTCCCTTGGTCGTCGGCGGCGAAGCGTTCATGGCGGATGGCAGAGTATCCATGTCTTGCGGCCGCCGCGACTTCACCCGGCTGCGCACCTCCTTGGGTCTCCTCCGCCGCGGTGAAGGATTCTCGTATGAATCTCGCAGGATTGGAACCTTTTGTTGACGACGATGCAGCAGAGCGATTGACCAAGGAGGCTGAGCGGATGCGGTATCTGCGTGAGAAGGCACGGCGGAAGGAACAGCGCGATCGGGAGCGGGTGGCGGAAGATCGCATCCGCGACTTCGATCCCAAGCAAGGGGGTGAATACTTCACCAGACTACAATTCGTCGATCTCACAAAATTCGATCTTGACGAGGAGTGTAAGTGGTTCAATTCTGATCAGATCAGTTCCCCTGCTCTGCTCTGCCCTGCCCTGCCCTGACTCTGCATCTTTCTTGTTTGCCATCTCTGAAATGATTGTTGCTTACACGATCAAATTAGTATTACACTCGTCTGTTTGTCTATTCGAATTTCGAACAGAGGTCATCACCATCCTAGTTTCTGTCTCTTAATTGACAAGTGCATGTGTACTTCACCGTTTGTATTATCTTGTATTGTTAGCATATATTAATCTCATTTGTAGAGAACATAGCTTGATTCTTCTTTTTTTCACACCACAGCACCCCGTGGACCGATGAGATTTGCTGACGCTGTCTACAAAAATAAGGACGACTATGAGCTGTGTGAGGGGATAAACATCTTCTCTGTCAGAATAACCACCTCGGATGTTGGCTTCCCAATCCATGTGTATGGCACTGTCATTGCCCGAGATAGTCTAGACAAAAAGTGTGTTTATATCTTCCACCGTGAGAGAGATCAATTCCAGCTCATCAACTCTGAGGTATGTCAATTACTGGGCACATAGGCTACACTGTATACAAAAATACCTGCTTGTACATTACATGTGAGTTAGCCAAAGATTACTGCAACATTTAAATTCTAGTGACCTGCAATTGTGTTTCTATTGATCAGCAATAATGTATTGTCATTTGGTCAATCGTGCAATGATATTCATCCTTATTTCATTCTGAATTCTATTCATGGTGCTAAAAGTTGGAAATTTAACAAGTTACTGATCAATAATCATCAGAATTTTACATGTTCAGAATGAAGCAGAAACTTGTCATGTGTAAGTTTTAGTGCTTGTTTGTAGATTATTTGTATCCAAGGTCCTTGGGCAACTGGTAGAGGGAACTAGACGATGCAGCATGCATCTATCCTTTGTGTTACGGGTTACGCGAGATGTTTACACAATGATCCAATATTGTCCAACAGAAGCATATTGTTGTCTTTGGGCTTTTGGGGTGTGTTTTTGGATATGGTATGGGACAGAATAAATCCTGAGTTGAACATTTTTTTTTCTGGTAGCAGTTTCAATGTGTTGTATGGCTGTAATTTTTCAACTTTCACTCGCCTATAATTTAAACCTTTTTTTTGTAGGATGAATCTTTGATCTTGACAGGTCCAAAACGAGGACTCACGTTGATAGGTGAGAATTATGTTGAGATTGATCTGAAGATTAATGACCAAGGGCAGGACAAAGAACTCAGTAAAGGAATCTTATCGATCAATGGCATAGAACGTCGACACTTGAAGGAATGTGAACTTGAAAGTGGTTCTCTTGCTACCAGGCTTAGTACTGTTGACGTGATGTATGGAGTTGTGAAAGATGCAGTGGAGTGTACTATTGCAATTGAAATTATACAAGCAGACTTTAATGGAAAAGTCACTGCCCATACCACCAGCATCCCAAATAGCCTTCTGCTTTATGATAGTCAAGTGGTTGGTGACTTGACTGGAGATGGTATTGGAGTTATCAAGCTTGTGCGGTCCATCATATGCGTCTATGTGAAGGATATCCTAATGATTGTTGTCCAAACTAGTGATGTTATGTCTAAACATACCATTGAATTTACTCCCAAGATCAACGGTAGAGAAGAAGAAGATATAATTGTTGGCATCACTAAGATGCGTGTGAAGGTTGCTTGGTCAATAATGGACTTTTGAGTAATCTCTTGGGTTGATTATTGAGGCTTGCTGACAGGAATTATACGTTTTGGTGTAACTATGTTAGAGTAGTGATGTTGGGTTCATTATCATTGGACATTAAATAAGTAATAGTACGTGTAACTACATATCTAATGTGTTAGGCATGTTATGTTGAACTATTGTCTAATGTGTTACGTGAAAGGGAAGAGGAAGGGGTGGGGGCCTGTTATGTTGAACTATCTAATGCTCAATAACAACAATAAATACTAACTGAAGGGAAAACACAAAAAAACTAATTTAAAGACAAACTTAAATGACATACGTGGTCAGGACGTAGCTCAATAACAACAATGACATACGTGGTCTTCCCTCTCGGATCTCCTCACCCTCTTTTAGTCCGATCATTGCAGGCAATGTCTATTGCAAAGAGGAATTGAAGGATTGGTGAATGGGAAGTGGGGGGGTTGGCAGATGGTGAGGAGACGCAGCGGCCGGGGGTGGCGGCGGACAGGGAGGGGGATGTAGATGCAGTGGCCGGAGGTGGTGGTGGAAGTGGTCACGGGGTTGTGTGGAGGATGGGGGTGAGGACGGACAAGGAGGGAGGCATAGTAACTAGAGGTGACAACAGATGGAGATAGAGTCGTGCGGTGGATGGGGCAGCGGCGAATAGAAAGGGGAACACACTATATGTGTGTGTGGACTGGGAGGCAGGTGAGGTGGACTAGGTGTAGGATTTTTCTTTTCTTTTTTCCCCCTTTTTTATTACACATTTGCTATTCAGAACGAAGGCGCCAACGTGAAACTATCGTATGTATCCTATTTTTCCTTCGTGTAGTATTTGAACCAAAGGATAAATTGTTTTTTCTTACGCGTAACAATCGTACCGATAGGTCAATGCTCTTTTCCAAATATTGTCTCCACGTCCCAAATGGCATGGCATCTACGCAGTTATATCCGGATCCTATCGGACTCTGTTGTAACGCTGTCAGTAGTGCCATCACGGCTCACGTGTTACCATCAGCTAGTAGTACCTACCAGACGATTTGCTGTCAGTCTACCACGTAGATAGAGGCTCAAAAGGGGCAACCCACCACGCCAACGACTCTGAAAACAGTTGTGCACTCCAGCGATGCTGGCCTCAGCCTGCCTATCCGCTCTTCTCCTCCTCCCCCTCCACGGCCGCCACACACGGATTCCTCGTCCCCTCCGGCAACCGCGGCGGCACATGTCAGGTACGCACGCACATCCATCCACCTGCAATAACAGCACGAAGACGCGAATCTTGCACGAATTCTCAGCGCGCATCTCGCAGAATATGCTCTCCTCTCGATCCATTTGAAATAACGTGCAAGAAATTAAAAAGTCGTCGTCTTCAAGACTTCAACCTTATAATCTATCCTTTTAAGCTAATAACGTGCAGTGCAACCAGGTTCTTCTGCCGCGCACGTACCAGCAGGTGGTCTCGTCCTCCACGGCATGTTGGGCGGTGGCGACGGTGACCGCGACCTCGGAGCAGCCGACGTGCCGCACCTCCCATCCTCCTCGCGGCGACACGCGTAAGCAGCTGCGCACAAAATTCCTCCTTCGCGCGCTACTGCTCATGTGCTGATGTGCAAGATAACCCGCGTGGTGGGCTGGTGGCCGTGCTGACCTGCTTCCTCTACTACCTCGTCGCGGTCGTGGCCGCCGGCCCCGCCAAAAGCCTGCTCGGCGCCGCCAACGCGCCGTGCCTCCGGTACATGAACCAGGCCGCGCGCGGGCGCAGCAGCTTCACCGGCACGCTCTGCGGCGACCTCCTCGTCGGGGCCATGGCGCACTCGTGGAGGTTCCTCGTGCAGGGCCTCACGTCGCTCTTGTTCCTCTGCGCCCGCGCCGACGAGTACGTCCGGCCGCCGCCCAGCCCGCTCGTTCTCCTCGCGCATGACAAGCCGGCGTCACATCCTCAGCAGGTACACATCTCAGTCGTCGGGTCCGACGGCATGCGCGTCTCGTGGGTGACCGACGACAGGAGCGCGCCGTCGGTGGTGGAGTACGGCACGTCTCCGGGGAAGTACACAGCATCATCAACGGGCGACCACACGACGTACCGCTACTTCTTCTACAAGTCCGGCGCGATCCACCACGTGACCATCGGCCCACTGCGCCCCAGCACGACCTACTACTACCGGTGCGGTCGGTCCGGCGACGAGTTCAGCCTCCGGACGCCTCCGTCCACGCTGCCCATCGAGTTCGTCGTCGTCGGCGACCTCGGGCAGACGGGGTGGACGGCGTCGACGCTGTCGCACATCGGCAGCACCGACTACGACATGCTGCTCCTGCCAGGCGACCTGTCGTACGCGGACACGCAGCAGCCGCTGTGGGACTCGTGGGGCCGGCTCGTGCAGCCACTGGCGAGCGCGCGGCCGTGGATGGTGACGGAGGGCAACCACGAGGCCGAGGCGCTGCCGCTCCCCGTGGTGGAGGAGCTCGTCAAGCCGTTCGTCGCCTACAACGCGCGGTGGCGGATGCCGTACGACCACAGCGGGTCGACGTCCAACCTCTACTACTCGTTCGACGCGGCGGGCGGCGCGGCGCACGTCGTCATGCTGGGCTCGTACGCGGCGTTCGGGGAAGGGTCGGAGCAGCACCGGTGGCTGGAAAGGGACCTGGCGCGCGTCGACCGCCGGCGCACGCCGTGGCTGCTGGTGCTGCTGCACGCGCCGTGGTACAACACGAACCAGGCGCACCAGGGCGAGGGCGAGCGGATGCGCGCCGCCATGGAGCGGATGCTCTATGAGGCCCAAGTCGACGTCGTCTTCGCCGGACATGTCCACGCCTACGAGCGATTTGTAAGTGGTAGTGCACTGTGTATGTTCTAGCTAGTTGTTTCTGTTTCTGCTTTAGCCCATTATTACTGAACACATGTCCATTTTTTTTTGCTGATGAGTGATGATCAGACGAGGATTTACGACAACGAGGCCGACAGCCGGGGCCCGATGTACATCACCATTGGCGACGGAGGCAACAGGGAAGGCCTTGCTCTCAAGTATGCATGTCACTGGCTGGCACCGTATATGCATAGAGTCAATTAGAATCTGATGATGCTGACTCAGTTCATGTGTGTGATTGTCGATGTGGTTCTGAAGGTTCATCGAGGACCACAAGTCGGCGCACCTGTCGGAGTTTCGGGAGGCGAGCTTCGGGCACGGCCGGCTGAGGATCATCGACGAGACGAGCGCCGTGTGGACGTGGCACCGCAACGACGACGCGTTCGCCACCGTCCGCGACGAGGTCTGGCTGGAGAGCTTGGCCGCCGCTGCAAAACCAGGCCTGGCACCTTCGCCACCACCCACCGGTCGTGACATTGATGAGCTCTAGATGCTACAGGAATACAGGACACGACTGCAGAAACGGGTACGAGGGTGTCCATAGAATTTGTTGGTTATCACTTCCTCGTGTCAGGAATATAATTTCACCAAGATTCGTTCGAAGTCAAGCCTGTTTATCGTTGGCTATATCAATATCTAAATTTTACTGTACATAGATTGACAAGGTAAGGTTAGTATTACTGGATTTATTATTATGGAAAATATTTTTGTAGTATAATGCAATCTTGGCAATTAAGATGATATTCTTATGTGCACGTACGTATATTATATTAGTTAAAGCATCATATTAAAAGTGAAGTCAAAATTTCCAGTCAGGGGGAAGCAGGCATTGGAGTAGTATTTTTTAACGTGCACGATTATTTATATCGATTTGTTACTTACAAACATTCCCAAAATGGACTTTCAATAAAAGAGGAAAGATATATTTTGGCATATAGTGGCCTTTTTTATCGTTAAATGTCTTTGTCCCTCCGCATAGGGTTAAAGTGGCACGAGTAATAATCTTGAAGATGCCAAGAGTTTTTAATATCCATGGGGATACAAATAATCCAAATCCGATTGTGTGCAGAGGCGGAGTAGGATATGGAATCGGTAAAAATCCGATGAATATAGATTTTTTGTAAATTTTGAATGAGTTATTCGATTTTTAAAACAGGGTATTCGATAATTTCTTTCCCTAGACTAAAAACAAAAATAACTCATGATAAAGAAAAGTTTGTTAGTTGAGAATTTTTATTTTGTGATGTGATTGTTTTATTTGATAATTGTTTAATTGAGAACTTGTTGGCTAATAACTTACCATTTGTGTGTGTGCATAACCAGATAAGTGTTAATTGTTTTGGTGTGAGAGCGACAAAATGGACTAGAATGCAAGATTTTTGTGTACTAGTTGTTGTTGCCTTTTTACTAAATTAATTCATGACAAACATATACATTCTCTACATATGCACATATTACTCGATTACTTAAATCCGTCTCATATCTGATTCCACTCCATCTCCTTACTTATGGGGACGGGGATCCCGATCTTCCGTCAGGTTCAAGATAACTATCGATTTAGTGGAGAGCGACACACCGATCCGGCTTCAGATCACAAAGACCCGAACCCTGCAACCTTAGCATCACGTCTTCTCTGGTTATAAACCGTGTCACAATCTGGTTGACCTCGCCAAGAAGGCTAATCCCTGCCGCGAATCGAAGAACACAAGCAAGAACAAGATAAAGCGCAACTCAATTGAAGTGACAATTGCAGATGAATGATTAAGCACTCGAAGTTGGGGTCTTGCAAACCGATAATGGCGACTGTTCAATGACAGATTGATCTAAAGCAAAACCCAAAACCTAATGTAGGCGGCGGCTACGGATTATATAACCTAAGGGGCGTCCATGGACCTCTATTCGCAAGAAGGTTGAGGAGTTGGCGAAGGAGAACGCTAGAAAGTTGGAAGACTCACGTGCCGCTTTGCTTGCCTGTATGCTGGAGGCGAAGGTTGCCATCGATACCGCTTTTGTTAAGGGCAGTGCGGAGTCAAGAGGGGTGTTACCCGAAGCTGATCTTGGTGCGTTTTCAGCGTGGCTTCAGGCGGAGCTTGGCTAGTTTTCTCAACTGTTGGAAAATGTTGCTGATTTTGGGGCTTATGGGGCTACCCT